ATGTCCTGTCCAACATGGGGGCCATTAGTTTTAGCATCACATGGTAAGGTTTGCCTGTTGTTCAAGAAACCAGAAGTTTTCTTATGGATGCATATAGTAACACAGCATTGAAATGTTATAGTAGCCTAAAAGTAATTTGCAGAATTAGGCACACATCCTTTATTGGTCCTGGAACAACATTCCCATCAACTGATCATTGCCCTAAAATTTTAGGGATGGGTTTGCTCAATCCACCACTTTCATCTGACAAAACTTGTAATAATTTATGGACCTAAGCTCTGGAGTAGGGTAGATCTGTAGAAGCAGGATTGGGTACCCCTGGTTTAGGGTTAGACATTAGAGGCAGATGTGTTTGATTAGGGCTGGAGGTAAACTCTGCAGGACACTGGCCCTCAAAGGCCAGAATTTCCCACCCCTGCTCTACAATATCCCTTGTACATGTAACAACTACTTTGTAACTGATTTTTTTTTGTTTTGTTTGTGTTGCAGATGCCTTCACATGTGAGCTAGTTTGTTCTTGTTATTTGTGCAGGTTTTGGTTCCGTTTGTACTGGTTCCCCCTCAAAGTTCTGTGGGCCTCCTGTGTCACCAGCATCCAGTCGGTTCCCAACATCCCTTTCTATTTCTTCTTCAACACACTCCTGTTTGCCCTGCTCCTCATGAATATCTACTGGTTCCTGGTAAGAATGGGTAGTTTAAGAACACAACAGCAGTGTAGTGCAGCTCAGGGTTAGTAACCAGAAGGTTGCTGGCTTGAGCCTTGCAGCGAGTCCACTGTGAGCTATCATCAAGTCAATTAGGCCCCGAATGTGTAATCTTAGTGTCCTGAAATCAGTAGTATCAGATCATGTTAGCTAGATATCTAGCAGATACTCTATCCAAAGTGTCTTGCTGTACACTCACAACATGAACAGTGCACACTAACCTGGCTTTAACTGTAACTTGAAATATAACCTACAAACTTCATATAACTGGCTTAGAAACCAATTAACTACCACCATTTAACCTGTTCAAGTTGCATTTCTCATGTGCTATTGCTATGAAATGTCTACGTAAATGTCAGACATTTTTGTTCCTTTTTGCAGTTCATTGTACTGTTCGTGGGGAAGGTCCTGACGGGCCAGATGAAGGAGGTAAATGACGTGCGGGAGTACGAGGAGGAGGACCTAAAGGAGAAAAAAGACACTAATGATCAGATGTCTACTGAAGGGTAAGCAAAGAAATGCAGCAGTCTGTGGTTAGCGCAGGTTTACAGTATGTGCATGTAACGAAGAGGAAGTCGTGTGGTCAACTAGCAGTTCAGGCAGAACTGAGAGCTGTAGATTCAACTACCTTGAGTGAACCAAAATGTTTTTGCCTATTCCTACTGGTATTTATTGCGGTGGTGTACACATGCACTTAACCTATAAACACGCTCATTCCAACATGACCTGAAGGCAGGATAATGTTCATTTTCTTTGAAAATGCAGATTTGCTTTACTAATTTGCTTTACTTTTAAATGTAATCCCAAATAGACCAGAAGAGTATATAAAACAAAGCTATATTAGACACTTGATTTCCACTTAATCTTGGCCCCATTTCTTTAAAATTTCAGAGTTGGGCAGAAATAGCTTTAGTTTTAGGGTAACACAGTCGGAGATCACTGAGTGTGATGGTCCGTTTCGACCTGATCTGTGAGACGTGGAGATTCTCATGTATATGTGACTAGCCTAATGGCATCCTAATCTCATGGCCTCATGGCACCTTATCTCTCGGACCTTGAAGTGAAGTGATATCCAGCCATGCCACATGCATCCTGCAATCACCACCTCCTAGCCTGACAGTGTGCGTTTCAC